TGCCTTGAGAGCTACAAAGAGAGAACCACAACCTAACGAGTGTGCCAGAACATGCCCTGAGAGCTACAACGAGAGAACCACAACCTAACGAGTGTGCCAGAACATGCCCTGAGAGCTACAAAGAGAGAACCACAACCTAACGAGTGTGCCAGAACATGCCTTGAGAGCTACAAAGAGAGAACCACAACCTAACGAGTGTGCCAGAACATGCCTTGAGAGCTACAAAGAGAGAACCACAACCTAACGAGTGTGCCAGAACATGCCCTGAGAGCTACAAAGAGAGAACCACAACCTAACGAGTGTGCCAGAACATGCCCTGAGAGCTACAAAGAGAGAACCACAACCTAACGAGTGTGCCAGAACATGCCTTGAGAGCTACAACGAAAGAACCACAACCTAACGAGTGTGCCAGAACATGCCCTGAGAGCTACAAAAAGAGAACCACAACCTAACGAGTGTGCCAGAACATGCCTTGAGAGCTACAAAGAGAGAACCACAACCTAACGAGTGTGCCAGAACATGCCCTGAGAGCTACAAAGAGAGAACCACAACCTAACGAGTGTGCCAGAACATGCCCTGAGAGCTACAACGAGAGAACCACAACCTAACGAGTGTGCCAGAACATGCCCTGAGAGCTACAACGAGAGAACCACAACCTAACGAGTGTGCCAGAACATGCCCTGAGAGCTACAACGAGAGAACCACAACCTAACGAGTGTGCCAGAACATGCCCTGAGAGCTAAGAAATAATATGTGCAGCTGCCCACCACATGTCATCACAGAATTTAAAAGCTGTGCATGAAAATTAACCATCTGTTAAATAAACGCGGGTGATCGGATTAAGTCGTATATTTAATAATTGTTGCAGGACTAACTGTGACACTGTTAATCGTGATATTATTAGGCTTAAAGCTAAAACGCGTGACACCAGGCTATGCTGTGGTGAAATATAGCTGCGTTAAATTACAAAACAGAGAGACATTACTTGATGATACAGATAGAGAGCCATGAACTGATGAGTGTTCCAGAACGTTGTTACCGTGACTTGACATCTGCCCGGTAGAACTGTTTAGCAGCAGTGTTTCATCTGAACAACCCAAAAAAGTAACATTAAAATCGGTTAAGGACTGAAAACTCATGCTCGAGAAAATATCAATAAATGTATAGATTTAATGGTGTAGGGCTGTAGGGACAGTTTACATAAGAAATTAAGAATGTTTAAAGAACATAAGATTATGGCCGCGGTACTTTACAAACTACAAAGCCTGGTGAGAGACAAAGCTACGGTGCGGTTTGAAGGGACGAGTAACACTGGAGGTCTGGAGCCGTACTACACTGAATAATTCAAACTCTGTCTAATATACAGTCTAATTGGTAGATAACTATCTGTCTAGCAAACCACTAATGTGAACGGACTGGAATGTTGCGCCTTTATTAGTGATCACGGTGCTTTACTAAGGTCAAGGGATGGTGGATTTAACTTTTAAGAAGCATTTAAATGCTAGCTAAAGTATGATGCAGTAACCTGCTGCTGCCCCAAATATGCCATGAGTAGACCCTTATGAATACTTAAACTATGCAAAACATTAAAGGCTTGATAAACTAAATAAAGAGATAGTGTGTATGCACTTCCCAGTCGAAACATTAAAGAAATGCTAAGATTAAATGCTAAGATTAAGAGTGGCAGCAACTTAAGCTGTTAAGAAACTAATAAGAAGTCAATATATCAATTATCATAAGCACCCTTGAAAAGAAACGCTCTTACATACACATGCAATTCGTAATTCCAAAACGCCGCTCATTTCATAAATAAATTGTGTTAGTATCGTATCAAGTTTTGTTCAGGACATTTGAATATAATTCAGAAAGTATAGATTATAGGAAAAGAGGAGAATTAGCAAATAAAAGTTAAGTAAAATGAAACCAATTAATTAAGGCCTACTCGGGCCTACTTCTTGAATTTCGCTCATATCAACAATTAAACTGCACTCGTCCGGCCCGGCTCCTACCAAAAAGAAAAGGCGAAAATTATACCAGAATAAAAATGACATTAATATAGCTTAAATTTTACATCGCCGACTAATGAGTTATTAAACTAAAGACAAGGTTAACTTAATTAATGCACAATGCACATAATCCATTAATGCATGCGACCGTAAATAAAAATTTAATTTATAATTGGAACCATTACTTGGTTAACTTGAATTTATTTGTTCGCGCTTATCAAATATATACCTGACGCAGGTCGTTGCTCTGGAAGAGATAAGAGGACTGTATTTATAGAACCTACTTAGTACAGGGTGGTCCAAAAGTCTTGGTACATCTCACACTAACTCCGCGTAGAAATAAATATAACTACCTTACTCGGGAATATTATAGCGGGTTAATTTATGACTGGGAAAATTAATAACCGGGAAAAATATGGCGGACTTTCCCAAAACCCGCCAAATTATCCCGGTCATGTATTTACCGGTGGCCGACCTTTCAAGTTTTTTTTCAGAGGTCAACAAATTTTCAACCGAAATTTCTGTTTTTGTTACTTGTTAAAGAAGTTATTTCAATTTACAGTTACTGATATTACTCAGAAATAGAAAAAAAGACACGTCTAGTATTTAAAGGAAAATAAATCTATAGCAATTCGAAGTTGTATTGTTGTCTTAACAAGACTTTCATTTTGTCCGCTAATGGGGCTACTGCTCTGAAGGTCAGCTGGAGCTTAATTTCCTGCCCATGCCCACCGCTTGGTATTGGGGAACGTCTTGGCTCTGCATCTTTAACTGCTCCAGTAATCAATCCACCGTGGACCATGAAATAGTGGCACAGTTAAGTTTACTCACTTCATGGGCAAGAAAAGTGAGAATCACGGTCCACCCTGAAATCTGATTTCTATAACCAAATTGTGATTTTTAAACGAAATTATGGTAGCAACCGCCAATAAAGTTACAGCCCTCCATCCACTGCTTCAAAAGTCTTCTCTAGCACATATGAGACTTCAGGTAAAATATGATGATCACCACCCCCTTAGAACCCCATAATCTGAGTCGGCGGGTTTTTTTATGACTGGTAAAATTTTTGACCGGGAAAAATATGGCGGAATCTTCCAAAACCCACCACTTTATCCCGGTTATAATAATCCCGAGTAAGGTAAATAATATAATAATAAGATATTGACAAATTTATCTTATATAAGACATGTTTAGGTACACTCATCATGGTCACACATTGAACCTTATGGCTCCATCGTTTAACTCTAAGTTTGGTGAGCGAAGCTTCTCAGTGGTGGCTCCAAAGATTTACAACCGTCTGCCTACTACCATCATATCAGCTGAATCCCTGGAAACATTTTAATCATTTCTAAAAACTTTCTTATTCAAATTGCCTCAGCATGGGTAGTACAACAGATAGAAAAAGAAAATGAATTAAGGTAAATGAAATAAAGTCCGACCATGTCGACAAAATAAATTGCCTCCCCGATCAAAAAGGTAAATGAACAACATAATAAAAATAATGACCATCTAATAATTTAAAATTGAACATATTATCTGGCCTCATGACACACAGCACGGTAACTTGGAATGAATTGTTAATATCAAGATCCAAGGTCAACATAATTATATTTAAGCATATGCGAAGGACAGACAATAAAGAAATTATTAGTTGGTGCCGTGAACTATAAGATAACTTGGTTTGTGGAATTATTTTTATTTAATACAGACCTGATGTGATTTGTGCACATAAAATATTCAAAATAAACTTAGTAAGATGGGCAAAACTACAAGATTTGATGATGCAAATCGATAATAACAATTTGGCGAGGAATTGTTTATGCGCGTATAATATGCGAATCAGCCAATACGAGGTCGTTCCTCTAACACGTGATCTCTCTGCTCCAATTGGGAGGAAGCAGCAGTCCCACCCACTCGTCGACTCACACTAACAGGCAAAAGAAACCGGGTCCTTTCTCCTGGTTTACCCACTAAACACAACATCGTGGAATCTTAAGTTCTAATTGATGAAGTGGACTGAAGTCCTAATAAATAGGATCAGAATCACAACCCTCAACCTCGTACCAAAACCTGGGCCTTTAATAAAGTTGACAATCCTGTCGACAGCATTCTCATCTGTTTCTTCTTTCAGTGCATAATATGAGGATTAAGTTGACATAGTATGGTATCATTTCTCGACATTATTAATTGGTTAGTCCGCTGTTTTGCCACGTTCTTATGACAAGTGTGTGAACCCAGCACTCTTTCCGAACTTTCTGGACTTTTAGATAATCATGGCCAAAATTGCACCTTTAGATTCGAAACATAGGATTAAATAGTGGTGATATTTAAAAGTTAAAGTAAAGACGACACCTACGACGAAGTTCAGGATACCAAAAAATCATGTAAACGTTAGGAGAACGTGCAAAGCTGATAATAGTACTGAAAACAAAACGTATAGGAGACTTCATTAGAAATTATTGTTGTTTCATTCTACCCGAATAAGTACTAACACCTTCATGTAATCGTGTATACAATAATCATAAATCATGCCTTATTACAATAAATAATTATATCAAAAAGCACACCGTTTTGTATGCTGACAAACCCAAGACCAAATAATAACGAAATGAGCCTTAGTAACTTTGTCGGGCAAAATTAAAATAGCTTCAAAGCACCGCAAAATTATTTGTCGAGATATATTCACAGTCAAATAAAAAGTTAAACCAGAAAATGTTTGACGTAATTTGACTGAGTTTAAGAATCTAATAGTTTCTCTCTGAGCAGCGTTCCGCTAGAGGTCAACTTGCCTCTACTTGGCGTTTCAAAAAATACTTTGCAGCAAATTTTTATCAAAAATGACGTGTTGTATTAAGATAACTTGTAAAATATTCAATGTTAATTAATTGAAATTCAAGGATTGACACAGACGAAATAATACATGATTTTCACCATGACGTATTAACTATTATTAAACCTTTAATTATACATTTTAATATATACATCTAATTTCAGGATATCGTAGTGCTGGTTGATGAACACTGCATACCACCAGTTTTCAGTTTGGACACATCAGAGTTGTGTCCACATGTCTACAAGCATCTCTTCTCAACTGTCACTCTCGTACTAAAGTCCTGTTATCAAGTATTTGGTGAGAAGCTTCTAGATGGAACCTCTCAGAACTTTGCGAGCTTGTTCGCGGCTAAGATATTCAGTAAGTACTGTTTTAGTTCTAGAACTTTTAGGGGGTTCTAGAATATAAATGAACTTTCAAAGAATCATACTTTAATACTTGAAAGCTTGAATGACCACATTTTCTCCGTGTTGATATAATTCACGTTATAATTCCTTACAATATTTATCCCCATAATTTAACTATAAGTTGCTGTTTATTACGAATCTATCCCTTTCAGAAGTATCAAAAGAAGCGTACATACTGCGCAGTACACTGTGCAGCGCCTTCAAGCACCCTGATGTCCTCTCCTCACTGCACAACTTCATCATAACCACCACCACTATCTCTCTCTCCCTGATTATACCTTACTCCGACCCTGCCTTCCCTCAGACCCTTGTCACTGGACTGGAAGTGTTGCCTTACACAGAGCTAGAGTTGGCACTGCAGGACTCACTCCGCAGCGCAGAGCGGCCTTCCTATCATACTGACCTGGGGAAACAGTCCAGTTTCTGTGCTAATGTCACGTGTTTAGCTTTAATCCTCGTTAAAACCTCTCAGATGCAGCACTCTGACTTACCTGGTGGAACCTCGGAACCTTCAACAATACATCACAAGAGAAGAGAACAATTACAAAGTCAATCACTCAGCTCACTGACCCAAATAATAAACTTATACGGAACACACCGACTTCTTCCCCCCTTCTTCTTCTCGGTAGTCCTGAAACTATGCTCCTTGCTAGGAGTGACCCAGACACAAGGTCTCAAGTTATCGCTAGACACCCAGGACCATTTGGGGAATGTTGATTACCAGAGGTTAGATCTTCAGATGGTGCTATTTGTTTTGTCACTGGAGAATGTTAGTGAGGGTGTGGTTAGAAAATGTGCTCTGATTTTAGTGTGTCACATGAAAGAGAAGAAGAGTGTACCGAACTTTGGTCCAAATATTTGTGCGAAGATATTGAAGATTCTGAGTGAAGATGGGAAAATCAAAGAGAGTTTGAGTGTAATAGAACAACTGATAACGAACTGTACTGATAAGAAAGTCCTCGGTGGAATAGTCACTGAACTGAACAGTACCGTCATGCTGGACGTCCTGAAATACAAAGATTCTTTAACAATCCTAACTACCATAGCAACCTGTAACAACGTGCCAGCTAACACTAGAACTCTGCTCGCTGTTCTACAATGTGTGCTGTGTGACTCAGGGAACACGGGAGTTTCTCTTCAGTACCTCTACGTTCAGTACGTGGTAAACCCCGCTCAAATGTCTGATCTCATGGTCAATAGGTTTGATGTTATTGCGTGTTTGTGTTCTCAGATCAAGTTCTCCTCAGCGCATTTGAATGAGGCGCTTCTGTTGCTGTTGGAGCATCTGTCTCATTATCCTGGTTGTGAGGGTATTGTAGTAGATCTGGTAAATATAGTGGAGATTATTGAGCACAGCACATCAACATTGACTCTGACACTGTTGTGGAAGCTGGTGAGGTGCAGGAGTGAGCTCCAGAGCAGTGCTGGGTTAAAATACTTAGCGCTGCGCTCCTTGTTGGAGCCTGATTATAGTGCTAGTGTTTCTGCTGCAGCCTTTATTCGGTCCTCAGATTTCAGTGCTTTACCGTGGGTGAGTATAGCGTTACAGACGTCCTTGTTATTGGACGATATACCTGGGGGAGTTGTGTGGTTGTTAGCTCACTTGGAGACAAAACAGCTGAGGCTTACTGTACAAAGTAGGATAAAACATCTGCTCAACTCTTTGGAATGTCAGTTTCAGTCCGAACAGCAGGCTGTTATCATGAAACTTTTGACTCGACTATTTGAAATATTTCCCGAATTTGCCTCCGCAGTTATCGACAAATGCATTCCAAAAGATGATATAGATTCTGTTTCTTGGCACAGACTCGGGACACTCTCGTATCACCAGTCTGCTTTGAGTGTCTTTGGTACGACACAAACTGCTGAGATGAGAGAATCTTACTCTAAAATATTGGGATATGTTCGATCAAGTAGTTGATACTGTATTATATAATTATTGATTGTTATTTCATTAATTTTTCTAAATTTGCGACTGTTTGACTCGAATATATTGTGTCATGCATGTTATAAGAATGATCATGATGGTACATATGAACTCAATTTTGTAAATTGACGTATTTTCTGATACTGTAATTTATTATCATAGTGTTTATAATTTCAATACTGTAATGTTCTAATTAAAGTTTATAATTTACCCAGTGTCGAGAAGTTTGTCATTGAAATGGTTTATATTGTTAATAAACTTGATGAAAATAAAACATTGTGACCTAATTTCCTTCGTGGATGAAATAATCATTTTGATGCCTCTATGCTATAGTTATGTCATGACGAATAATTTTACTGCTAAACTGATGGTACATTAAACCTAACATATTTAATATATTAATAGCGTAATGGGAAGTTCATATGATCATGCTATCACAGTTTTCTCGCCAGACGGTCATCTGTTCCAAGTAGAGTATGCCCAGGAAGCCGTGAAAAAGGGATCAACCGCCGTTGGTATGTTAAGAATTTGTAATATTCCCGTGACTTGAGCCACTGAATAACCCACTATTTTCAAAACGTGTAAATTGGTGTTCATAGTTATAACTTTAACTTTAAGGCAACATTTAGGAATGATTTGATATTAAGATACAGCCATTAAGTTGTTATTTGAGAATATTTCAGGACTGCGAGGAGACAGTATTGTAGTGCTTGGCGTGGAGAAACGTTCAGTCCCTAAACTACAAGACGAACGTACTGTTCGGAAGGTATCTTCAATTTAATGAACTTTTTAGAGTATTTCAAATGAACATATTTCTGTAAAATTCGTTTATGATACTCGCTATCTCCTTAAATCAAGAAGCGTAACTTTACCCTTTTCAGATCCACAAGCTCGATGACCACGTATGTATGGCATTTGCTGGCCTCACCGCTGATGCCCGTATTCTGGTCAATATGGCACGTGTGGAATGTCAGAGTTACAGACTAACAGTAGAGGATCCAGTGAGCATGTCCTACATCGCCAGACACATCGCCAGTGTCAAGCAGCACTTCACTCAGAGACCCGGCCTCAGACCTTTTGGTCTTTCCACTCTTATTGTTGGTAAGATCACTGATAACTCTAATACTTCCCGCTCTCCCGTGACTTGCCTACTTAAGTGAAGTTGAAACATGAAAAAGAAAGAAAATGTCACTCCACAACTTTGTAGACATTGCACGCCAAAAAGGTCTTCTTAAAATGCTCACAATTTAGGCGATAATCATGTAGTTCGAAATTGTGACAACTCTCTTTGCGCGTCTCTAACCGCGTGCGCGCCCACGTACGCTGGTATAAAATTTGATTTCTTTCAAAGTGTGACGTTTTGCGGGGTAACCGAGTTATATTAGATATTTACTGAATAATTCCTGGGAATGGGTTAGGTGACTCCCCCTTCTTGGGCCTCTTGATTTATCTGATACAGTTTGAATCTTTGGTAGTGAAATAATTTACAGAGTCTCTGAGTAACTATACATTCTTGACCAGGTTTCGATTATGACGGATCTGCTCATCTCTTCCAAACTGACCCATCTGGTACCTACCACGAGTGGAAAGCAAATGCTATCGGACGAAGTGGCAAAACAGTGCGGGAGTTCCTGGAGAAACATTACACTGATGAGATAGCTGCAAGTGATGAGGCCTGTATTAAACTGACCGTCAGAGCGCTCTTGGAGGTTGTTCAGTCCGGAGGTATGTTCCCATATATGGTATAATGAGCGAGGTGTGGGATCTTGGATTACCCTTGCTCATCTAGAATTTCTCGTGTGTGAAGAAGTCGTAACAACCACGATTACGTCGCCTGATTTGTTAACTGCTGAGTGGTTATATTATAATGGGGATAAGAGGCCCAAGAGCCGGTACTGGTACTTCCACGTTAATGAATTATAGACTGTGATCAAAGTTTCCCTCACTTTAGGAAATGCTGTGTGTAGCATATTCCTTGTTTAAAATTGCTTCATTTCCAGGAAAGAACATAGAACTTGCAGTCATGAGGAAGGGACAAGCCCTGGAGATTCTGGACACAAAGACTGTTGAGAAACTGGTTGAAGAAACAGAGAAGGAACGTGACGCTGAAGCCGAAGCCAAGAAGAAGGCTGCTGGAAAATCTTGAGATCTTGATGCTGGACATTAAGAATTTCAGTTTATAAGATAAACATTTACTTAACTGAACAAAATATCCTTTTTATTGGATGATCAGTATATATGACGACAAATTTATATGTTGTTGTAATTGTTGAATATATATTTCTAGGTTCAGGTCTATTTAAAAACTGTTTGACTTTGATTTTAAAGCCATCAAAAGTATTGAATCAGCTTTCGAAGTAGTTTAATCTACTTCAAATAAAGTTGAACAATCTCTTTCAAAATTTCGAATCAATCAAATGACTGAAGTACTATCATATCTGCTTTATTCACTTTGTTCCACTGGTTCATAGGAAACACATAAGATTGTGGTTGGTTTTTTTTGGGTTTTTTCCATTGTTTTTGTAACTTTATGTTCAATTATTGAAAACCAAAAATACATATAATATGAAACATATAATAATTGATGATGGGGATGATGGAGGATAACATATAACTTGGTCTCAAATGAATGTAAGTGTAAATATTATCAATTCTAATATTTAAACGTTTTTCTAATAAAAACCCAAAAAAAACTAATTTTACCTAAAATTTCCATTTTGGGGTCGGACACCCCAAGATTAGATCTGTATGCTAGCATGGTGGTGATTGGTGAACCATATTTTCTGACACGTGGCAGCGACAAACCGATCGGTTTCCAGCTGCAGTGGTTAACCAAAATCTACAACTTCTGTCACGTGTCACAACAAAACTGGTCCGCAATCACCGCTCAGCCATGTACCACTATCTAGATCTATGGCTAGATTCATTAAAGTTGAACGCATGTGCAGTGTGCACCGCCCTTGTTGCTGTGGTTGGCCGTGTGATTACGTGACGTGGTTAAGACTAGTTTGAGAGCCGTAGTAAAGCACCTGGTGCTCCTTTCATTATTCATTCGATTTTATTCAAGTGAAATTATTTGACAGGACTAATTTGCAATTATAATTTAATCAAAATTTAAGTCGACCTAGTCTAAGCGAGATTGAATGTCGGATTCTGTACATTTGTTCGACATTTATAATACTCGTAGTACTAGTACCAAGTTGAGCAGTTATTTCCATCTCCACCGTTTCAGCTTCTTCGCTGTAATCTTGCGCTATGTATTTTCACATTCCGGTGTGTTACTGGCCAGTAGCTGGCCTGCTGGCTTGTCATACCATACGTTGTAGACCTACGTCTGACACGCACGAGTGCGCGGCGCGGCTGTATCGTGGCTTTCGCTACTTAGTGAAACGACAATGGGCCGGGGTCACGACGTGATACAATAATAACCGGCCACGTAACCTCGCGTGGGTATAACACTAACAGCTATTGTAAATTTCCTAAACCAATACCATGCAAAGCTGTACTATGCCTATTGGCATTGCCTTTAAGTTAAATCATGTCGGATCTTCAAGTGGAAGTGGAATGTGGATATCATCGCTGATGGTATCATGCCATTTAATTACTAACCATTACTAGAAGTATTTAACACAGTATTTATGATGGTTTAGGAGATGACGGACTGTTTGTCTGATGATCACAGTTATTACGTACGTCAAGAAATCAGCTATTTCTGGAAATAACGGTTAAGTTACGTTGGTTGTCTGTGTTCACTGTTCGCGTGTTCGGTGAAAATACAAAATAGGCCACGAGAAGGATATAATCTTTACGTGATTTACCTTTATGATCGTGACTGGTGACTGAGTGATTATTGAACTTTGCTTCCTGCATGCGTTAACAGCTTAACTTTCAACGTTGGATTTGATTAATTGCTATATAACGCACGAGAGATTACGCGCCATAATTTAAATAAAACCACCGGTCATGGTTCTGAGACTGAAAGCGTTTTTTGTGGTTTTGCATTTGGCTTAACGGTTTAAAATAAATTTCGTTTATATGAATATGATGCTTAACTTATCGCCACCGTAGCAATTTAAAACTGTAACAGCTTCGTCCGTTACTTTCACCATTTGACCTTTATCGAAACATTTTAACAAAAACTGAATTATTGTCGATATCTTTTAATTTAAGTTTAGCTGGGGTCCGGATACGACTATCTAGTAGTATTTATATTTTTTAATTTCGGTCAATTTAAATTTTTAATTTTAAATCTTAATCGAGGATCAGCTAGGACTACATGACATAATATCATTCAATCAAGTCGAACGTAAAACGGTTTTGTATCACAATGTGTCCCCGGCCCATTGTCATTTCACTTAGTGAGGCAAAAACCACTATTAAGCCGCGCACTCGTGCGCGACGGGCCTAGTCCTACAACGTGAGCTAGGCAAAGACGGTTACGGTCTTTTGGATCGACTTATAATTATAAATCATGGCGGTATCACAAGTGAAATTAAAAAGTGAACCATGCACATGATCATTTTCTGATTAATTTTGCAAAATGTTATATTTCTAGGCCCAGCCTAGCCGGGTTATTTTGGAAACATATCGACATTAATTGACGTTTGATTGTCGATTGTGAACGATTAAAGTTTTTAGCGTGGCCTGGATTGTTTAAAATTGAAATGCACCAAATAAAATTTACTGGGCCGCGCTTAGCCTGTCATTCCGCCAAATCTCTATTTATGAACATATTAATAGCCTAAGGTCCCCAGGTTCACATAGCCATGTGTCTACGCATACTGCGTGACGCGCTTGTTTCACTGCGAGCGAGAGGGCTCTGGTTAGTCCCCAGGTAAAATAAAATATACAACAGCTGCTCCTGTAAATGTAATTGCAACTTTTTTGCTTAAACTGCACTGAAAACTTTCTTTTATAAAGGTAAGGTAAACAATTAAAAAGTGACCATTCACCATTGTCAATTGTGCATTGGGGAAAATTGGCACATTTGTTCGTGTTTCTTGGAAACCTAAATAATATCGACACCTGGCTTCATTCTTCTAAATCTAATGTATTTAAATTATCAGTTATGTTTGCTGAACATGTTATTTTAAATGTATATGATTATGATGAAATGTACGTATAACTTACGTACATTTGGCCCAATATGAATAATATAAATATTAATAAGAAAAGACGATAAAGAAATTTCGATCTTCAATCCTATTCCTTACAGTTACGTACACGTGGCTTTATTGATCATTTGAAACCTTCGTCGGGAAATCAGTTGAAAGGAATGAAGAGTCAGAGGTCTTCACATATTACGTAATCATGATCAGCCGAGGGGGGATCACTGGGCCATGGGAAGGGGGAGGGTTTCTGCAATTTCCAAATGATTACGCTAGTGTAATTTTGACACAATATATAGCTATCACAGTGCTGGCAAGCACGACCGGTGCATTTATTGTGGGTATACTATGTACCCCCTTTACTATTATACCCCCTTTACTATTATACCCCCTTTACTATTATACCCCCTTTGGTACACGTTACAAGCCTCTTTCGGCCGGAGGCGGCGGCCGAAGGCCGCCGCCTCCGGCAGGAGTTTTTCAGGCATTAAGACTCATCGGAAGTCGTTCAGCAGATTTATTTTTAGTTCAAAACATTCTAATTTGATGTCAAAGATGACAGGAATAAAAAATAGTTATGTTGAGATTTTTAAGAAATTTGCATAAAATACTCGCCAGCACTGTTATACGAAATTCGGTAAAAAACCCAAAATCGCCATATTCAGGTGCCTTAAAAACCATGTTAAAATCAAGTTAGAGATCTGAAATTTTTCAGGGCGTCTAGACGTTGACCAAATCGACTGCAAAAAAAGTTTCAGGTTTCAGGAACATCGGGAAGTGGGTTTTCTAGAACCCCTGTTTTACGACAGATTGTCGTGATATCTATATATATACATATATATATTCAGGGATAGACGCTTTGCCAGTCAATTGTAGCCTGTATTTAATTGTCCATAGATTCAAAAGTATAAAAGATACAGCCATTTCCGACCACAGGTCTTGAAAATAATTGTTTACACTTTAGTTTACATTGTATAAACAAATTATTTGACGTCATGAACACCCCTTGATGACGTCATCAAGTTAACCGTTTTTAAAACTTGATTTTTGACAAAGTAATAACTTTTAAAAATGATTTTACACCATTAAAAAGTAATTGTATTCAAAATCTGAGGAAATTTTTCACCTTAGATAATTGTTCAAGCATTCTGAAAATCTACCGGAAAGTTTTTCTAGCTTGCTCCTTCATAAAGATATTCGTCATTGAAGTTTGTGCTTTTTTGAAGAATTATTTTATAAAAACGTCAATTTTGCGATTTAGTATTCTCTGGTGTTGGGCCATGCCTTAGGTTGTGGAGCTCAGTTCTGCTTCTATAGATATAAATTGTGCATTAGGCTAGTTTTAAAGTTAAAAATCGAAAAGTTGCACACGTAGGGACACGCCCAAATTGATAGAAAATTGCTAAAATCACTGAAAATTGCTGTTTTCGTCATTTTCTGTCAACTTTAGAGTGCCGTTGTGATTACAGTTCTTCTTGAAATACTTTGAAACTTTGCATGCGTATCAAACTATATATACAACAATTACATGCAAAATTTTACGGCGATTCAATATTGGATGCGCACGCAACGTCCGCTCAAAGTTTGCACGTGCGAAAGGTGAGAATTTTGCTCATTTGTGATTTCCAACAAATTCTGCTTTGCCACGACAGTTTAATGTCATTATAAATGAATTTAATGCCAACTTGAATGAGTATTAAGTGGCATATTCAGTCAGTGATCGACCGATATGCTTACCTAAACACAAGGAAATGTTTTTAAAGGAAAAATTTCGAAATTGTTGAAACTTCCTCCTTATTAATGAAGATATCAGTTTATATTTCGACTTTATAAAGTACCCTGACATTATAATCAAAAAGAGATGATATTTGACCAAAACCCATAATCATGGGTAGAGTGGACCGCTGCCAGTGTCTCTCTTTCCCAAACAAAAGGAAATGATATTAATTTGATTGACCGTTCTCAAATGCAAAATGATACCGAGAATGAAATCGGTCGCTCGCTTTTCCCATTCATTTACAATTGTAATAGATTAAGAAGAACTACCCAAAGGCAGCTGTACTCAGCAATAAAGATTCAATAAACTTCAGCTAATTCAATAAGTAAAAACTACCACCCTTACCCCGAAATACTAGGTATCGACCCGAACGCAACCCAAAGAGATTTTTACAGCATCTGATTGATGTACCTAATCAATCGAAACTTATTACAATTCGTAAGCCGTGAATGAATGGGAAAAGCGAGCGACCGATTTCATTCTCGGTATCATTTTGCATTTGAGAACGGTCAATCAAATTAATATCATTTCCTTTTGTTTGGGAAAGAGAGACACTGGCAGCGGTCCACTCTACCCATGATTATGGGTTTTGGTCAAATGTTTAATACTGATTACACGAAGGGGGGAGGGTATTAGGGAATATTACGTACGTTGTACGTGCAGGTACTGCAGGACGTAGGTTTAATTTTTAAGCATTGCGTCTACAATTTCTATCGACCATATTATATACGGTATCTTTCAATCATATTTGACACCAACCTTTCTTCCGACGTTTCAATCGACGGAAAAAGACAAATCACACATATAGTTATACGTGACATTATAACTATAAGATGCGATTACATATTATTATTATCCAGATTCGGACGGTCATTTCGTGGAAGCTTTCCCCTATTCAAGCATAAAGGTCCCACAAATTGAAATAACTCTCTTCTTCGATATTGTCTCCAACTTTAAACTCCCGAAATAAATAGCATCTATAATCATGTTACTGTCAAATAAACTCCTATGTTCTAATTACCCGGCGCGTCATTCCCTCCGCAAGCCTTCGTTTTACTTCTTCTCGTATCTGCGAGAGAAGTAAAGTGAGCAATCGTTTAGAAATCTAGTAAGATGTTCTGAAAGTCCAAATTAAATCATGTCTGCAATGGAGTAAATTAAATTGTATATGCTGCAACCGCTGAACATCAAAAGCGACAATCATTTTCTGTTTCGCAATGCTATTAATTAACGAATGAATCTCAAAGTTTCTGGTTTTATGTTTTTATATGTAGATCCTTATACCAGCATTTCCTCAGAAGTCAGATTTTGAATTGTTTATACCTTTATGTGACATTGTACAGGATCACCCGGCAGCAATTTGTTGTGTTTCTTCATTAATCATAATCCGGGCCGCATATTGTAATAATGTTAATTAATCAACGCGACAGTAATTATGGTTCTACCACAGCTTGTTTACTAAAACACCATTGATCGCCTAAATTCCAATAAACAAACATATAATTTGTTATTTGCAGCAGGAGCAGCAGACACCACGGTCGTAGACTTTGCAACTGCACGTGAGATTTTAAAACCGAAATCTAGATTTAAGTTTTATTTAATACTCCGGACATCTTTTTAATTTTGTGCCATTTCTTAGAGGTTGAACTTGAAGGCACAAACCGTATATTCGTTATATAATTCTCGGCGGCGGAGAGCAGCAGGAGTGATCTCGCCCAGCCAGCTACAGTGACAGGTGGAATGCAGGATTGCCGCCAGTCAGATTACCTTAGACCTGGCAACTGTCACTTCAAATGTCAATACCACACATGGGAACCATATTCTGATGCAGAAACTGTTAAATGTTCAAATTTTTGCGTGTGCCATACCATATGTTAAGTCATATAATAACTTAACCCGTCCGAAATTTCCCCGAGGGACAGTTCATTAAAATGCCATTTTTAACTCGGGTGCTTGGGGTTCGTTCGCGACTTTCTAGAATTAGCGATCTCACAGAATTAGCGATTTCTTGAGCTGTGTTCAATGCATTCCAAGTTACAGCGATATCTCAAGCAAATTTAATTTGCGTGTGCCATACCATATGTTAAGTCATATAATAACTTAACCCGTCCGAAATTTCCCCGAGGGACAGTTCATTAAAATGCCATTTTTAACTTGGGTGCTTGTGGGGTTCGTTCGCGACTTTCTAGAATTAGCGATCTCACAGAATGCTAATTCTATAATAACTTAACCCGTCCGAAATTTCCCCGAGGGACAGTTCATTAAAATGCCATTTTTAACTCGGGTGCTTGTGGGGTTCGTTCGCGACTTTCTAGAATTAGCGATCTCACAGAATTAGCGATTTCTTGAGCTGTGTTCAATGCATTCCAAGTTACAGCGATATCTCAAGCAAATTTAATTGCACCGTGATAGACCAATCATTTTTCGAATTGAATGAACTTCCAATTCCAGGGGTATTGTAATTTTATGGAATGGGGTGCGTGAAGTTTTGCTTTAAGTCATATTACGGACGACATATCAACTTAAGGTTTAATGCATTTTGATAGTCTTGGTAATGGCATCTAAAGTGTATTGTCCCCGATTCTTGGTAATGCATTAATGGTATCGGAGCGAATATATAGATAGCACAAGTTGACGTGCATATGGTGCATAATTCAATTCATGCAGGTATGATGACTACGTGGAGTCAGGAGCTTGGTGGCTCCATTTCTGGAGTGAGATACTGTCGGCAATCTTTTAGTTGCATTTGTTTGTTCCTTGTGTAAATATTCACTTGAGGCTATAAAAGCTTTTGCTATCAATGTACATGACTATAGGAACTATAGGAACTTTCGCGATGTTAAACTTTAACAATTTGTATACCATTACTCACGCACGACCAAATCATGTAGATAGCTTTTAGCCATGGTTTGGTTTTGCGAATTATCACATGTTTGTATCCTTGTTCTATCCTTCTCAGCTCTCCTTCTCTCCGTCCCCTTCTGTAACTTCTCCCCACAAAGCTCCATTTTTCTGACGGTATACCTATGACAGGTTCATGACGATGGCGACCGAGGAGACGTTCTCAGACTACAACATATGCATGGCTCATTTCGTGGAGAATACTCCTAACAGTTCACATTCTCATCTGCAAAAGGAGGGCTACATCTTTTCAGAGTGTAATCTGCATTATTGTGAGGATGTGGGGGGCAGTGGGGAGTGGCACCCCCAAACTTATCAGATGTGTCTGCTCCCTCTTGATTACATCTGGGGCATGGTTAGCTAAATAGTTATTTTAATCAGCCATATGTTTTGACAGGATTGTTGCTGAAATTCTTGAAGTAGGTTTAGGGAGAAAATAGCTATAGCTCTCAAATGATCTGGCAGAGAAAGTTCTAAAGTTCATCTTGGGCAAATAGCTGCCTGGAATTTTATGGAATCACTTAACAGGATATCCTATAATATGGGTTAATATTCCACTTATCCAGGTACACCTCATACTCGGAGTGACTGGACTCATATTCAACACGATATCCCTCACAGCCTTTCTACGACTCGGACAAGCAAAGCCATACTATATCATCATAATATTTGAGACAGTTACGGATCTTATTGTGTGTTTGGTGGCAATCTACAGTGGATCCTTTTTAGTGACCGGTTAGTGGTGGATCTTCATTACGTGACTTTACTGCTGTTGGTGGTGGATCTCAATTTATAATAGTTATTAAGTTACTGCTAAGTGGTTGATTTTACCGGTTAGTGGTGGATGATAATTTGACTATAGATGGTAAGTGGCGTATCCACGCCACTTACCAACTATAGTCAAATATCCGACAGAATCGTTGATTTCCTCGGGTTTAGTAAAATGGTCTTTATAAGTGCAGTCTAATTAAAGGACCCTCCCATATGATTGACTCCAGAGATTCGCTGGCATACCTTTCAAAATAATTTCATAGAAAGTTCTTTGGAAAAGATTCTGGTGAAGATTTTTAATAATTCATAATAAAAGCTCACAAAAACTCTTAATTCAGAGCGATCAAGTTGGTACAACAGCCCCCTGTGCGAGATAGCGGGCTGGCTGTGGAACTGGAACATGGTAACCACTCCCTTACTCCTTGCACTGGCTGGTCTTATGAAAATACGTGCTGTCTACCTGCCTCATGACAGATCTTTTGTCGTCTCCAAAACTTTTGTTAGTTCATTTAAAAATTAAATTCCACAATCTGGCAACAAACATTGCTTATTTTTGATACACATCATTCATTGATCAATGATCCATCTTGTATCTCGCTAATGCTCCAAACTGACGTGAGAAACACTGTGATCATGGTCATGATTATCACATTTCTGTTGCTGATATAATCTTACTGAAGATAAATTCATAACTGTTGCTTAGTCCGGCGCATCATCACTATCTTTAATTTCAGATAACAAGCCTGTGTATTGGAGCGCTGATATACGGTGCAATCTTTGCTTGCTATCCGTACTTCTTTGACTCGGTCCATTATCAATTCTTCAACTGGTAAAGCTGTTTTGAAACATTCTGTCATTTTAGTAACCAAACTTAAATAAACCTATCCATAGGAAGCGTGTGAAGATGATATCATTGGTAAGCTTTTTAAATGATATCGTCTCGAGTTTGGTACTTTACCCTTTCTCCGCCTGTAATCATCTAGGTATCTCTAAATGACTTAAATATCATACTAGTGCACCTAACACTGTAGCACTGTTGACTGGTTAAGCAATATTACGATCACAACTATCACGGGAGAACGGGTAAAGCTGAAGAATATAATGTCTGCAGGTGGAGTATATGCGACTTTGTGTACGACGAGAAGAACCACAACCAATCCCTGATTTACAGTCTAGTAATGGGACCAGTCCCCATGTGCTGCTCTCTACTGGTGATCATAGTTACCAATGTTATCATAGCTAGATACCTCTTTCTCAGATACAATGTGAGTTCAACATAGTTACCAATAGTTACCAATAGTTACCAATAGTTACTAATGTTATCATAGCTAGATACCTCTTTCTCAGATACAATGTGAGTTCGACATGGAAATTGGTTTCTTCACGATTATCATCTCTGTTTGGACATAAGCATTTATTCATTTTTGTTAGGTATACACCGTTACCGTCCAGGCTAACAGCAAGGCCTGAGAAAGAAAATTTACCACTGAGGCATTAATATGCTTCCGGGCTGTTAATGTTATAGTACTGCCAAAAAGGCTGGGCGCTAAAACCTCGAACCTACAATAGAATTGCATTAAAACCTTAAAATTTAGAAGCCAGATTTTTGTGCATATGGTATAATATTTAGCTCACAAACAAAATATCAGTGAACTCGTTTTTCAGAAATCGTGGGAAAAGTCGAAAAGTGGAGAAACTTCTGCTACAGATAAAGCTCAAAGTAGGCAGATCGTGAGTTAAAACTGCATTTTCAGTAATTTTTTGATAGGATCGTTTTATATGCGTCGCATAACAACAACAACAACAACAACAACAACACAAATAATAACACAATAATTTCTTTAAATGTGTGTTTCTTCTCTTTTTCTGTTACAGTTTAATAATAATATATAATAATGGCAAAATACAACAAGTGTTTAGATCTTAACAAAGCCATCATCGTCATCACACTGATCATTAGTGTACAAATGTAATTATTTGTAGTTTGTAATTAGTTTAACCCATTAGGGACGACGAGTTTTAAAGTTTGCCGATTTTGATACCGTTTAACACACTAGGTCACTTTACAGCAAAAATGAGATATCCAAAAAAGCTAATCTGTATCTCGTTTACTTTAAAAGATACAGCTATGGTCGCATACGACCCACTCGTCCGGGTCGCAAACGACCCATCACGGTTTTTCGGCTTTAACTTCTGAAACAAAGACGTTAGGATAAAATAAAAACTGTAGCATAAGTTAAAAACATATGGTCAATACTGTGTAACTCTAACTTTTTAAAAATAAAGAATTTGGGTCATTAACGACCCACTCGGCTCACTTTCTTATTACTACATATGTCCATGTAACTTCTTGAATTCAGCCTAAAGCATGACATCATAAGTTCAAAATCGCCTCTCAGCAAGTGATAATCATCATAAACTGCGAAAAATCGGTTAAATGGGTCATTAGCGACCCACTAGGACCACAAAATTGATTAATTAAATATAATGTTGTCAAACTTTTACAAATATTAGTATAAATACATGTTATATCTTGGTCATTACTCCTGTACGTTGATTTAAATTTTAAAATCGATCAACTGGGTCAATAACAACCCACTCGGAAGTTGAACCACGACATTAATTATCAGTATCATGTTGTTCTACCATCAAGAAAGACACTCGTAGGTCTTAATTCCACGCAAACCACGGGTGGCTGACTACTAGCCCTTCTGAGATCTGGAGTCTCACGGTAATCTGCAGATCACGTCACCCGATGACTGACGAATAATGGGCAGAATTGGATTGATAGGTAGGTGAGTTTATCAGCTGTTAGTACACGACCGTAATGCCGTGAGACAGCAAACAACATGCCTATCTTTTCCCGATTCCTATAACGTCCAAGAAGAACTATACAACTGCTGGATTCAGATTTCAGATGGCTGCATCTACTCTCTTCGCAGCTCCCTTTCTTTACTTCTTAGGGGCCGTTCATATATTACGTAATCACTTATTGGACAATTTTTACGCCCCCCCCCCCCCCCACCGCATAGCTATTATGTCAAAATTACACAAGCGTAATCATTTGGAAACTCCCCTCCCTCTCGGCCGATTACGTAATACTTGTTTTCGTTTTGAAAGCTGCCTCGTTGTTGCGGGGTTTGTTACCCACAACGAGGTAGTTGTCTGAGAGATTGCAGGTTGCAGCACCGCCAGCCAAATGGGGGGGGGGGGGGGGGGGGGGCTTTTTCCTTGTACTTCTTCACAGAGCTGTAGATGTAGCCATCTGAATGCAGCAGTTGTTTAGTTATTCTCGTACTTTCTAGGAATGAAAAAAAAAACAGATTGGCATGTTGGATTAGAATATGCAATTTGACCACTCGTCTTTCAGTATTTACCCAAGGTTACATGATATCTCATATCTCGTATACTTCGTTCAGGGGATTTTTCTTGAGTGACATAATCTGATCACCGTGGGACCCTGGGTCTCAAGCGGTGGGTTGTAGCAGGTCGTTTACCAAGATTCGAAATTGACGAAAAAGGTAACAGAATCTAATAAGCAACAACAACAGCATGGCTATACCTAGCAAGTTAGGAACGAGGGCCGATTCCTTTTCTTTTGCGGCACGGCCACGGTCCTTTCGGTACAGATTTCCACGCACCATAGTATTAGTCAGGACACAACTCCAGGCATATGCAGTAGTGTTATTCTCGCAGCTCTTTGATGAGTGATGACGGCCCTTCAGTTGGCCCTGGATCTCAGAAGGGCTAGTAGTCAGCCACCCGTGGTTTGCGTGGAATTAAGACCTACGAGTGTCTTTGTTGATGGTGGAACAGCATGATACTGATAATAATTAATGAGGTGGTTCAACTTCCGAGTGGGTCGTTATTGACCCAGTTGATCGATTTTAAAAGTTAAATCAAAGTACAGGGGTAATGACCAAGATATAACATGTTTTTATACTAATATTTGTAAAAGTTTGACAACATTATATTTAATTAATCAATTTTGTGGTCCTAGTGGGTCGCTAATGACCCATTTAACCGATTTTTCGCAGTTTATGATGATTATCACTTGCTGAGAGGCGATTTTGAACTTATGATGTCATGCTTTAGGCTGAATTCAAGAAGTTACATGGACATATGTAGTAATAAGAAAGTGAGCCGAGTGGGTCGTTAATGACCCAAATTCTTTATTTTTAAAAAGTTAGAGTTACACAGTATTGACCATATGTTTTTAACTTATGCTACAGTTTTTATTTTATCCTAACGTCTTTGTTTCAGAAGTTAAAGCCGAAAAACCGTGATGGGTCGTTTGCGACCCGGACGAGTGGGTCGTATGCGACCGCAGTTAGTAAACAGCGTCTAGCTCTGTTTGTGAACATCTGATTATCACGGGCTTTTCATATGTCTCAAGGAAATCGTTGCCCGCAACTATTTTGTCCTCAACAAAATAAGCCTACATAAAGTTTTAATGTCCCAATCAAGGCAAGAAGTAAAGTGAAATATTTTCCAATTATGACGACTAATTAGCCTAATTATTTAGTTGTTAGTAATTAATTGGGTCTCGACTGGAAAGTCAATAATGTAGCCCAATAAATTTTGAGCATATGTGCGAAAGATTCGTTGCGTTTAGTATTATGGTTTGTCCTCTATAGCCTCTAGAAAAGGTGGGTCGTAAACGACCCTATCGTCCCTAATGGGTTAAACACCTTTAGCTCTTTGTTACTAAAACTGTTGTAGGAAAAAAGAAGAGCTATAAATTCGAAGGGATAGTTTTAGTGGTCTTCTATAAATACTGATAGTTGGATAATATTCGGTCTTCTATAAACTCATATGACTTATATCCACAATTTTTCATGCTTCATTTGTATAGATACATCAAGAAAATCAGCAATATAAGATTATGAGGTGACATGATGATCACAAGGGGCCGCACCTTCATATTCTCACTCCCATCTTTCCTAGATATCCAACTTCATACATTAATTGGTCTCTCTGAAATGTATCTTACATCATGGAGGCCAATCTAAGGTCTCAAAATCGTGGTAGAACAGATTTTAGTCCTCTCTAATCGAGTAAAATTATCAGGTAGTTTCGCTCCTACTGATGACATCCTGGTACTTCGTATGCTACTCTATCATCATATTCCACAACTTCAAAAACCTGCTTATCAATGTCCAGAAGAATTCATCCGCTAATTCTGTCATCACCGATTTGGTAAGCATTATGAGTATATAGATAGCTTGGTTACCCCAAATTGTACAGTGTATACCTCCTTGATCACAGGTTGTTTAATGAGGGTTTATAAGAATCTTACTGCTAATTCTTTGACGCTGCACCACTTAATCATTTTTAATAAAAGCACTACCTTCACTCTTCAGGGTGATTTAGGACAAACCTACTTCTACGCAACCTACAACTTCTGTGCTTACCTGAACAGCTTTGCAAATCCCATCATTCACCTGGTCTGTGGGAACACCTTCAAATCAGAGCTTCTCAAGATGAAGGACAGTGTAGCTATGCAGCTGAAAAGTGTCATCACTCACTCTGAACATTGACCATTTGACCAGTCCACAAATTATATTTATAACAGATACAGATCAATTGGCATATCTTAGCCGGCAGCCTGGGAAAGTGATAGAGATAATTTGTGCTTTTACATCGGGTATATTTAGTACATATAAACGTGGCCTGCAGACAGAAAACATATCAGTTAAATTCTGGTATTTTAGTTTGAGTTTTACTAGGGACACTGGGGGCATGGTGCGTACAGTACGCAGCGTACTCGTAGGTATGAGGTATCTCGGACTGTTTGACTTGGGTAGTTCATCTACGCAATCTGTTTACATATATTTACTTTTAGTAGTTATGGTTACTGCTTAGTTTGTATAGATTAATTATAGGGTCAATGTCTTTGTTTGGTTAATAGTCAGAAGTATAATCAAGTTTATAAAAATAGCGACATAAATATGAGAATGAGAATATAAGAATACGAACGCGATAAAAATAAATTGTAACTATGTAGGCTGTTTTTTAACCATAAAAGTGAACGTGATGAAATAAACTGTGCTGAATTTGCAACGCTGAACGAAAAATGTATTTAGGTGCTAATTTCGTCAAAATATTTGTCTTCAGTTAAATTCTAGACTTTTCAAGATGTCTGGTTCAACAAGCAACAGAACGAGAAACAACCTGGTACCATTGATCTCTAATCTATTGAATCACGGCTACGAAGATGGATAGGAAATTTATCTGACGAGGTTCCTTTTCATAGCTGTCAACTACAGAATCTCAGTAATTTCCCGTAACTTCGTGCCGGAGCACGAGAGCTTAGGAATTCCGAATTGTGTATCATGTTTAACTTTAGGTTTTCCCAAACTTGTGTTTTCCTATTATGTCTTCATTGTCAATGTGTTGGGATTTTCATTTTAAGAGCGTACATATGTTTCCGCGAGGTACAAACCATCATTTCGTAACGAGCAATTTGCAACATATTATCGTTGATATGCCACGTTCAAAAGTAATTTTTGTAACATCACATTGATTCAGACACTCGTCACTCACCGCTCACATACCCTTTCTTTTCTAATATATGAACAGTATCCCCTCAATTCTAAAATGTTTCATGCTGAACAGCTGAACAGCTGAAAGTTTTCACAAACAATTCGTCGTTGTTTTCAAAATAGATTGCACTGTTAAAAAACACAAACAACATTTTTCTCTGTTCGTGTTACTGTTATGTGAAGTTTTATCTTTATGATATAAAACCTGCTGTTCAAGTTTAACCTCGTGTATTTGTCGTTGATTGATTGAGGCGTTTAATTTCTTACTTATACTAGTACTACTAGTGGTCCGTGGTATACAACTTATGACGGATGCTGCATTAAAAGTAAATGTTATAAAACGTGTATTTATAAGAATTCATAACTATCTCAGAGAATGAAATTCCTTTTTATTTCTTTTTTGAAAATGACACGCATTGTCACAGGGTCTGCATATTATTATTTATTTTAAGCCGTACATAATTACAAACCTCTCTGCATCTAAATAACAGATCCAAAAACGTTGAATACATTTGAATTGACGTCCCCCAAAATATTAAGTAGGCTACTCGACCTAACCTACTTTATGTACAAATTTAGCGCAGTTATGGATCTAGGCGACCCTGATGAACAATAGACTCTATAAGAGTTATTCGGGTGATTTAAATAAAGGCAGTCCCCTTTCGGTAAAATTATGAAATTACGTGCAAGAACGGCCGGCCACCTGACGTCCTGACTACTTCGTTTGCATAATTCGTCCATCTTCCTTTATCTACAGCATGTTTTTTATAGAGACGGACCGAATAGTTGAATAAATTATGGTAATTGTCCCGAAAACCACCTCGCTAGCTCCCTTAAATTCGAATTAGAGGAAGTCTTTACCAGGGGCCCAAACTCAAACTTGGTCGGTACTATTTGAGATGCCGTTATGAAGTTATGATAGAGTAACATTTTAAGGGACGAAAATTTGACCAATTCGATCAATATCAATTTTGGACAACCAACTTATGCAATTTTAACATGCAGCTTTATGAGTTTATGTGAGACGTATTTTTAGGGGGTTCGAACATTATTGTTACTTATTCTATGCCGGGTATCGTCAGTATTTCTTCTCCCAAGGAGAATTTATTTTCGTACACAATTTCTCTGTTATATCACTGTTTAAAATTTTAAAATTATTTAAAATGATTGTTTTATAAGTTTAAATTTCAGTGAACTAATAACTGCTTAATTGCAGCTTCTCTATTCGAGATTGGCTGATATCCACCTTCATTTTACGGGCTTAACTTATTAATCAGACACAATACTAGTGTTAAGGGTAACTAGTAACTAGGGATAAGGAAGAAACAATACACAGCACGTCGACAGAGCCGTAAACTTATGTCCAAGATTAAAATTTACAGCTCCGCACAGGCTTCTCTCTTATTTAAAAACATGTTTCTTCTGTAAGTCATAAATATTGAAACACAATACATATCACTAGACATTTAAATCTTTCTAAAATTACCCTGAGTCACCTTCCTAACAACCCGGCAGCAGTGCAACCATGCGTGTTGTTACAATCCCTCAACATCTCACTTATTGTAATTGCATGTTTTGTTGGTTATGTCTGGGAAACACGTACGGTTCACGACTTTACCGTCAATATGAGTCGACCCTTGATTAAATTTAAGTATTTACTATTTAGTGACTTTCGCAATCAAACCTTCGCCCGAACACTGGCAGTATTAAACAATGCTATCTCCCATTTTCCAACGTTGATGGACAACTTTGGTCTTTGATCATCTACTGAATCCACCGACATCTTGAAGTTGGTCAATATCTTTTACTCTGATCGATGATATCATGATTGTTGAACTCCACTTATCCAACCTGCACACAATAGGTCCTAACCTTGCACACTATCCGTTAGTGGTCATCTCTACGTGCCACGTGATCACTACTTACTGAATCAGTCTAACTCTGTCCTCACTTGAGTACTACTCAGATATTATAAATCAGATTTGATGTGAACCAGGCCTCCTCACGGCCGGCGCCCCAGCTGCATCAATAATCCAAGGAAATATGTGTATATAATGACCCTGAATACATTGATGTTAAGTAACTCTCGTTATCATAATCGACCAGAACAATGGTAGAGTTCCGAGCAACAGAAGAATGGCATCTGTCCTAGCTCTGTACAGCTACATTCTTTGTTTGGATCGTATACTTCAGTTCAAAATTCAACATAATATAGATTCTCTATTTCTCGATTTATAGGAATCCAGTTTAATTACTTATATTCTTTGATGCTATAATTGCTATGTGCGTTCTAATTAAGGAATGCGGCTTTTTAACACAATAAGGTCGATAGTTGGAAATGATAGTTACAATATATAAATAAATAAAGAAACAAATGGTCCCGAAGTAATTTAAGATACAAATTATCGATCGTCCTGTATCACTGAATGTTAAATGACCAAAGATTGGCCCTAATTCGGTAATTTGCGATCCATTATAGCTTTTAGATGAGACCTAATGACACAAGAATAGCTCTGTAATAGCCCGAGGGTTACTCATTAGTCATACTGATTACTGAATAGTCGATTAGGGTCCATTTTAACATGGCTCTTCATGATCACCTTCAGGCTTGCTCGAATCTAGAAACTGATATTTGCTGCATAAATGAAAACTAAATTACAATTATTGTTTTCATGCTTCTATAATAGTTCTGATTGAAACTTGACAAAAATTGTCTCTGGATTACCAAGTATTGTAGTTGTTTTTATTGCAGTTGGCGAAATTTCAAATTCTATGAGTAAGCTAACTAACTAAAGTCTAGGGAAGAATCATGCACAACATAAACTTTAAAGCTGCAGGTATTTAATGTTTTGCTGTGAACCTGCTGTGTTTCCTAATGTCTACATTTTCTTATTTTAGCGAGCACATTTTTCATTGTAAAAAGCATGCAGCCTTTGAAAAAGTTAAACGTTTCCCAATAGGATAATGGGCGATTATCTTTCCAAGAAATTTGTCTCATTGTATTATATTGTTTAGCACTACTCAACTTTGCAGTTTGCTCGTTTGATATCCTTCCTTGTCATCACCTACTTTGAGTTTTCCAAGGCCTTCCCGACAGATTGCTTCGTGACTTTAACCGGATTGGTGTCCTGCTTATGAATTGCTTCTGCCCTTATTTCAGCAAGCTTTACGGATTCCATACCGGGTATATCACGTATATAACTATACCTACCTGAATAGTGTTATTACCTTCCCCACACAAATAATGAGTTAGACCTAGTTTCACACTGGAAGTGTGCAGCACAATGCACATGTCTGAGAGACAGACCAGCAGGTAGAAATGCTAAGTTTGTTGCTCTGTAGTACAGGTTAAGAGGGTTGGTGTGAAGGTGCTAATGTGTTGACAGTTAACCACAGTGCAGGGTAGACGTCAGACGATTATACCTCCGCCTGGTATTATATAGTCAACTCTATATTCAGCACCAACGATACCATCTTCTCTTTCATGACTGTTACATGGTCCACTCTAATAGTTATAACAGCTTTTATATATCTTGCCAGCTCTCATCTCGTTTCAGGGCCGTGCTGTTGTATATTATAATTGTAGGTCCAAAGTGCTGGTAAATGTTAACATTGAACATTCTGGTAGTCAGCACGACTACCATCTTGTTTCATAGCACCTTGCCGACTCTCATAGTGTTTCAGAGCTATTATATTGGTACAGCTTGCTGACTCTCATAGTGTTTCAGAGCTATTATATTGGTACAGCTTGCCGACTCTCATCGTGCTTTACAGCTGTTTAATACAGTTTGACCTGCTTCAATTTATAATACTGATATTCAATACTCTGCAGGTACCTTGTGCCATCTCTCTTCCTATTTCAGGGTTGTTTTATTGGTCTAGACTCTAGGGAGATTTGCTGTAATTTACCATCCTAATCCACGTTTTATATTAGGAGGTTTTTCGCTCGATGTGTTGAAAGCTTTGTTCGTTTTTTCATCGTTTAATGGAGGTGGAGGTAGCGAAAATTAGTGCCACAAGCTGCACGTTTCAGATTTAGTTTGTAGTGTTACAGTGATACTGATACTTTTTAGTTGCTCTGAGTTCAAGCACCATTTTCATACCAATGAACACCAATTGCAAGGGGGTGTTCCTAAGAATTTATTATCAAACGTGGAATGCTATTCCAAACATACCTAAAGCTTGTACCAGAGGCTCGGAGATAAGTGGTTTAACAGTGTATTTAACATTAACTTACTTATATATCTGAGGCATATTTTGCGTTCTTTTCATAGGTCCACAACTATTACAACTTTACTGTAAGTGGACTTTGTTGAAAGATCTACAGTATAATATCGTATTTGAAATTTAAGGAAAATATTTAAAAATCTTCGTAACAATTAGCGATTGCTTATTTTAGAGGCGTTATTAGATAAAAATCAGCAAATGGCACTGTCAAATTTACATATTTTGTACGTCAAGTTTGTCTGAAAGAACACACATGTAAATTCAGTTTTAGGAGCCCGATGAACAATAAAACCTGCCTTCTTATTCTATTGCAGCCATCATATTCTATTATCTATTCTGTCACCTATTATTGCCTCTTGGAATAACTTAACGTTTCAATTTAACGCACATGAGATTCATTCATTTTTGAAGGATGCAATGTGTGCTGATACCTTAGAGTACAATACCATGGACTATAAGGTGTACGTTTATCGTGATTTTTGACAAGCTAACCGGAGATTTCTTTGTTTAAAACATGCGAGCTCTTCCATAGAAACGTTTAACACATTTTATGGAGATTTTGAATGTTTGACCACACACATAATTTACTAAATTTCCATTTTATGCCTCAACGTTTTACATAATCTGAAAGGCATGATATAGTACATTATATTAATCCTATCTACTCGAGAGAGTGAAGAGAGTGAAGAGTTAGAGAGTGAAGAGAGTGAAGAGAGTGAAGAGAGTGAAGAGAGTGAATGAGAGTGAAGAGAGTGAAAGAGAGTGAAGAGAGTGAAGAGAGTGAAGAAGAGAGAAGAAGAGAAGAGAGTGAAGAGAGGGTGAAGAGAGTGAAGAGAGTGAAGAGAGTGAAGAGAGTGAAGAGAGTGAAGAGAGTGAAGAGAGTGAAGAGAGTGAAGAGAGTGAAGAGAGTGAAGAGAGTGAAGAGAGTGAAGAGAGTGAAGAGAGTGAAGAGAGTGAAGAGAGGTGAAAGCTAGGAAGAGAGTGAAGAGAGTGTAGAGAGCGAAGAGAGTGGAGAGA